GACTAAAGGTTTACACATATTTGGTCAGCAGTTTTCTTATTTGGATTCAACAAGAATGGACCATACAGGGAGAAAAAAGGACCATGTGAATAACCTGAAGCCACTTCCTAGGAGCTTATTTGGACATATAGCAGAAATGCTATAAGTGAGTTTTTACAGCCAGTGAAATTGCATTGATGGGTTCAGAAGGACCTGTTTGATATCCTCTTAAAATCTGCATCTGCCATTTTTGAGAAAACTTGAAGAACAGGTGAAATGGCACATAACTGAAAACAGGCAAATGCTGTCCCAACCTAAAAGAGAGGTTACAAAAATCTGGAAATTCTGAGTACCAGAAAGTTTGCTCTGAAATGATACTTCAGGAAAGAAGAGGTGGAGAAGGAGACTGAAATAGCAAACCTCAACAAAGGTCTTTCGTAATTGCAACCAGTGAGCATTGAGGACATTCTTGCCCTGTCCAGACTGGAAGCTAGAGTGGCAGGTGGGTAATAGGCAGATACTACTTAAGATTCACGCACAATACTAAGACTTCTACTCAAATGAACATATAGCATATTCTGTAGCATAAAACACTTCCTCCCTCAAGCACAGTGAATGCAAAGTGCTGGTGACACTGAAATTACAAACTAGAGGTATTAATGACCTCCTCTCCACCACCATTTTAAAGATACATTTTTGCACCGTTTTAAAGATATATTGTCTGGTTTTCTTTCAGCATCTGAATCATCAAATGGTCCAAAAAGGGTTGGACCCATCTGGATACACTGTGGAACTGATCCAGATCAGTCAGAATCAGCCCAGTGTGATTCAGTATTCAGACAAACTGGTTGCACAGCCTGAATTTTTATGTGTAATATTTTGGGCCTATGTATGATAACTTCAGTTTAGAAATACAAAACAACTGTTCCCTCACTTCCTCTTGTCACATGGTGTTTTCACATTCAATAGTCATTTTGTGATTACTCTTTTCTTTCCAAAGTAGTTTTAAGAGAGGGTATTATATGAGACATTACAATCTTTTATAGATTTTATTATTTCCTCAAATCAGATGTGTGGATTACAGAGAAAACACCAAAAAATTGGAAAGACATAAAACAGTATTACAAAAAACTGAATGAGACACAAAGAAAACCTGAAACTGAAGCCAGTTTAATAATATGTTGTTTGATTTTATATGGTTTTAAAAATACTCTCTCTCTCTTTTGTATTTAAAGTTGTATTTAACGCTATACTATACAGATTAATGTTTTTTTTTTAAATTAAAAGATAGACTGCTATGGAGAAAAAAGTCTGCACTTCTTACCTAGCACCTAAATACTACAAGACAACGTCTTTATTCGGGAAATGAATTATTTTAAAATCAATCCAGGGTTTTGAGGGCTTTTTGTTGTTGTTGTAGCTGCTGCTGCTAAATAAACATGCTTATTCAGCAAAAACATTAGTATTTTAAGTATGTAGAAAAATAGTTAATATCTTAAAAAAGAAAGATTTCAGTGACTAATTTGGAAACTATTTAGTTCAACATATGCATAACATTTATCTACATACTACAGCAAATAAATGAATTAATCATTCTGACAAAGGTCTCTTTCATGGCATGTATAGTTCCAATCTTCTATTAAACATATTCTTCAGATCTAGTTTTGCATGTGTGATAGATATGTGATATGCCAACATTATATATTATATTCTTCCTCACAGCCCAACCTCCTGCAGAGACAGCAGACTACAGAAGCTGACCCTTACTGAGACCATCTTGTCTATCTGACAAAGCTCCTTTTTAACTTCTTACTTACTGCTTACTTCCTGCGATGGAGAAAAACTTTAGCTCTGCTTGTGATAATTTCACAGGCCCTGAGTACCCTGACCCTAAAAGACCCAAGGTCAGAAGTCAAATTGTGTTCTGAAACATCTGTGTGCTTCATATTAAAGTAGAACAAAAGTGAAGAAATCTCCACCAGCATGACAAGAGAAACAAGCAAAATGGGAATGACACATTGGTCATCTGTTAGCCATGCTATCTCAAGTCACTGACTGAAAAGGGATGGTGGAGAAGGGAAGAAGCATTCATGCAAAACTACTTTGAATCTTAATCCTCCAGGCAATCATTTTATTTTTAAATTAAAAATAAACAATTTTAAAAGTCTATAAATTTAAGTTAACAAATTCAAGGCTTTATACTCCTTTCTGACAGATTTCCTGGTACCTTTAAAAGTGTTCTCCAAATAACAGTCCACAAAAAAAACAACAGAAATTTCATTCCCTACATATAAGAAGGAACAATTGACAATATTGTCTCACATTCCACTTAAAGATAACATTTTTTTAAAAAATACAAGTGGATATGCTAGTCAAATATTTGTGAATTCTACCCACAACTCATAATACACAGTTGGAGTAAAAGTGAAGCAACATCGCAATCAACATTTTGGTCTTTGAAAAGGAAAATCTGCTCCAATGCAGAAAAAAATCATATGACAAAGTTTTTATTGTTCGCTGCTTATTTTGCCAGGTATTTACTTTTCTCAAAAAGTCTATCAAATGAGCATAGTAGGAGTATCTGTTTTCTATTATCTTCATTGCATGTATCATAGTCAGTACAAAAACAAAACATGTAAAATCCATAACGTTAACAACTTCCATTATGTGACCAAAACGAAAATGACTTCTGAGGTTACATTTGCAGTTGGTTTCTGGACATAAAACTAATGCTTTTAGACTTGCAATTGTGCCTATAGTTAACTGTAGGATTAGTGTAGAAATTTATTTGTCTCTAAATGGTTTAAATTATTAGAAGCAATAAATGTATTCAAATGGTCTGAAATAGAACAAATAATGTAGAACATTCTATACTATTTTAGAAAGTAATTGAAAGTGTGAAACACTCCCACAGGATGGTATAATCTCATTTTCATATCACATACTCTCCTTTTTAATCACTGCTTTTATAAGCCTCTGTGCGTCCTGGAAAGATCTGTTGTCCTCTTAATAAAAGATAATATTCTATGATAAGGTATATAATGTAACCATCTGCCTGGTCTCATTTTACAGGTATATACAAAAGAAGACCTTGCATAATGACTTTACAGTTCAGGCATGTAAATAAAGGTGCTGAAGCTTCTTCAGGTAACCTCTTCCCATGCAATTTAAGACTTTAGATGTTAAAAGCACCACTCCAAATTGGGTACCATATTATGTCATCATTATATGGCATAATATGGTCATACAGTATTCAGTTTCCAAGGACACTCCACATATTATGCACTTCAGTCACTTCTGTGGAATTAGCCAGAGCAAAGAGGAGCAGAAACATATAGATGACAAAGATCAAACCTCTGGGTAAGGGTTCCGTTTTAGGAGAAAGGAAGAACAGAAACAAATAAAATAGTAGATTAGACGTAGTCTAGAGGGGCGGGGTAAAAATCGCATAAATAAATAAATAATGAACACAGAACCTTGAAACGCCCAACTATTAGTAGCTGCGCTGCAGAGGGTGAATCAAAGTCTTAGAACACCAACGTTTAGGCCATTCCTCTAGGGCAGTGATGGCTAACCTTTAGGAGCCCAAGTGCCCAAACTGGGGAAAAAAACATGGCAGGCAGTGGCTGAAACGGAAGTGACGGTGGAAGGGGGAATCCTGGGCACGGAGGTGCCTCCAGACCACACTCCAGATCTGCCTCCAATCGTGCCCAACCCCCACCAGCACCAGTTGCTCCAGATTCTGGCTTTTGGGTTGCTAGCACCGCAGCTGCAGCCACCTCCTCAGGTTTGGCTGCCCAGCGTAGCCATGTGGCAAGAGAGGGCTCTGCATGCCAGCTGTGGCACGCATGTCATAGGTTCACCTTCGCTGCCCTAGGAAGTAGCGTGGACAGTGAAACACGGTCCTTCCAAAGTCCTGTCCCACAGAGACAATAGAAAAAGATACCATGTTCAATGGTACTGAAAACTGGAAGATTTTACCAAGGAAAACTAATAGAATCTCTTGTCTAGCACAACTAGCAGAGTTAATATTTAATTTAAACACAGGATTCCCCAGGAAAGATGGCCCAAAATAGAGCTGCATTTCTCTGTCCCATACTAAAATATGTTTTTAATTTGATACTGATTTAATATTAAAATTGCTTAACTGTGTTTTAGTATTATAACCTTCTGTATGTTTTATTGGTATCTTGCTTTTATCTGTTTTTTAACTGTACCTCTATGCAATATTGTTGTAAGCTACTGGATTCCCAGCACTGGGGGGAAAGTAGAATAAAAATCAACATACAGTTCAATCTATAAAACCTCTTCAGTAGTCTCCCATATACCATTAATGGGAAACTCTTTGTCCATATGGAGCTCAAGCTTGCAGCAGGGAATTAGTGAAGAAATTATCTGATCTCTCCACTTAACAGAACCACTGAAGCTTTCTAGATATAGCTCAATGAGTTGCAGAGCCTGAGTCTGTGAGGGGCTGGGAATCCTCACTGTGCTTCCCAGGAAAAGGGTCAAATGAGATCACTGGGAGAATGTATGACTGATGGAGTTATGTACGCTGCCACTTGTGTGATCTTGGGCAATCTGCACACTCCTAAAAAAGTCACCAGTAAGAGGGACTGATAAACCATTTGTATGTACTTTGTACCTAGAAAGCCCTGGAAGGGTTGCCAAAAGTTAAATTTGACTTGATCACAATATTTCATCAGGTAGCAAAGGGGGCAAGGTCAGCCAGACAAAAAAAAAATCATGTTTAAACACTATATTCTATCCAGGTGTGATCTCTCGCTTGCTACTGTGCAAGCGGAATTCACGCCATTGAAAACAAATGGATTTCTGCTTGAGCAAGGACAAAACACCTACTTCTGCAAGTTCAACACAATTCCAGCTACTCATAGAGCAAACCATTATACAAAAGCAAAGAAGGGATTCTGTGTGGTGAATTAATTTACAGCACACAAAGGAAAGACAGTGTCAAGTCCATTATATATCTATACATAAAAATAAAGTATTATAACACTTACCAATTCCACAAATGCAAGCCCACCATAACTGTGAGCAACAAAAAAAACATTTTCAGCTGCTGACTGGGAGATAAAGTGGTCCCATATATAAATGCCATGTTCTTCAGGGGAGCCATTTTCCTAGAAAAACAAGGTAACACTAATTATAATTATATAGAGCTCAAAATGTACTAAGTGCATCAAAGGAGGCCAAAATGCAGTCCCTATCCAAAGCTTCATAATCCAAATAGACCATCAACGCAGAGAAAAAGGATAAAAGGCGAATGGGTGGAATATGCAACTTCACAACAACAAACAAGTCATGCCTGTTCATAATTACTGAAAATTGCTGCTGCCTGTAAAGTCATCCCTGTGGCAGTGATGATAACTACCGTATTTTTTGCGCCATAAGACGCACTTTCCCCCCAAATAGTGGGGGAGAAAGTATGTGCGTCTTATGGAACGAATACAGAAAAAAGGGGTTCCACTACCACCACCCAGAAACCCCCTACTGCCATGCTGGGAGGCCTCTGAACTAGCACCAGAGACTGCTTGCTGTTTAGACCCCACCATTCTGCACTGCTGGCTTTCCAGGATCTGTTTCCTGCAGCCCACCTGGAAAACCAGCAAGGCTAACAGGCCTATGGTAGCAGGCAGTGAAAATAGCCAAGGACCAAAGGGGAAAGAGTAATTCTAGAAAGAACAAGGGAAACCACAAACATAATCCCCCACTTAGGCAGTTGATTTCCCCACATTTGGGAAAATCACAGGGGTCAACACATCCAGAATACAATAGATGAGCCTTACCCCAGGAAACCACTTTTACAACAGTGGTATCTCCCATGCCAAGTATGAGTTGGAATGTCCCCTAAACCGGTGGTTCTTAACCTTTGTTACTCAGATGTTTTTGAACTGCAACTCCCAGAA